CAGAACACAGAGATCCCATTGTTTAGCTTTGGGCTTAATTACAAACAAAGTAAATGGTTTAGTTAGTCCTGGGTAAGTTATACCCCCCCCCCACCCCACACACACACAAAAAAAAACGTAGTATGTTCAAAGCATAATATTTAATCAGTTTTTTTCTTCTTTCTACAATGTGTCACATTTTTATTATTTTTATCTAAATATATGTATATATATTTGCTGACGAATTTTTGTGATTTAAAATCAGGTGTTTTCTTCTTCTTTTTTTTTTTTTCATACAGGCGAAATTCGGACAACGGGAAGACTGATAAGGAGAGCGGGTAAAATGAAGAAAAGGGTTCGTTGGGAACGTTCATCGAAACGCCATTAAAGAACCTTGCCTCAGTTCAAGCGGAGTGATATTTGATTTACACGAGTATGTAGTGGTTAAGGTGTAACTACTGGGTTAAGTAAAAAAAAAAAATAACAATAATATTAATGCTAGATTCGGTGTTGCAGAAAAGTGGGAACAGAAAACGCAAATAAAATAAATGTCTTCCCTTCTAAGAGTATCCGTAATTTGCTGAACGTTTTTTTTAAATTTAAAATATCGGATACAGTGCCAAAATGATCGGCAAACGACGTTCTTGAGATTGTGGCGTGTCTTTTCTCCACCCACCCCCACCCCTCCCTCTGTACCTCAGTTTTTTTTTTTTTTACAACTTTGTAAATACAGAAGAAGAAAAAAGAGTAGAATAGAGATACTATTGTTTTGCTTGTACGATTAGGGGTCTATGTAAACATACATAAATATGCGTGTGCGTAACAAACAATACGTGAACGTGCCATATGTGTGTGTGTCAAAGTGCGTCGACTGTGATACGGAACTGTTCTTCGCGCATGCGCAGAACTGTGCGTTAATGTCGGAACCGATTGGTACAGCGAAATATTACAGCAAACTGATTTACGAGATACGAGAAGAAAGTGATATCAGTGGTATGGCTGAAGTAAAAAGAGCTCTTTGGAAGAAATATCTAACCCCAACCCCCCTTCCTCCCCACATGCTTCGTGTGGAAAAGAATACTTCAGGTTGGACTTGCTTTGTAAACTTATAGTTGCTTTCATTATTGTTACGTTTGTTGTTTAAATTGTTGGTGTTAGAGGCATTTTTTTCCCCCCCGTCAAGTAAAATAACTTATATAGAAAAAAAAAAAGGCTAAACTTTATTCATAAATAGTAAATACGTGAGTTGGGTCTAGTAAGAAAATATACGCACGTAATTTCTATGGTACAATAAACATAGGTGAGGAAGTATAGAAAAAAAAACATTATATCGTACCTAATACGCTAATAATTGTAAATTTCCAATATTTTATTTAGTCAAATGTTTGTTCGAGATGCTAGAAATAACGTTTTACAAAGGCTTTTATTGTATGATACATTTAACTGGGAATAAGCTGATATAATTACTTTGAAAAAAATTAACTACGTGTAATACAGCGGTTTGCAAAACGTTGAGTCAGTTTTTTCAAATCATTTGATTGGCTCTGGAATAAAAAATGACAGCAATGAGTTTTCAAGACACTTAACTAAAACGCCATCTACCGGTAATCTAAGATAAAAGTACGCTTTTTAAACGTATCTTTAGAATAAAGAAATACTCGTGCTCTATTGTTGTTCATCAATGACAATCAAATTATAATATTTAGATGCATTTATTTATTTATTTTATTCAGTTGGTGAAAAAAAAAATAAGTGAATTGGTGTTGGTTTTTTTATTTTGCAATCTTAATAACTTACGTACATCTCACTTCAAGATCTGGTTGTCAAATGAAATATGGTTATAACGTGCCAAATGTACGCCATTGATTTCCTGAAATGCTCAAATGTTTTAGGTTATTCGCTTTTCAATTATTCCATATGAATTCAATTAAAACATTTTATGGTTCAGGTAAGAATTTTAAAACGATGACTCAACGTTTTGTTTGTTGATTCAGTGTTTGTTACAATAGTATTCCCTAATAAAATATTATGAAAAAGCTTAAGTTGGACAATGATTGTTGGTTACTCACCATTCCTTAATTTCAGCAGACACACAACAATACACACTTGTAGTTCAGCAATGATTGTTAGTTACTCACCATTCCTTAATTTCAGCAGACACACAACAATACACACTTGTAGTTTAGCAATGATTGTTGGTTACTCACCATTCCTTAATTTCAGCAGACACACAAGATACACTTGTAGTTCAGCAATGATTGTTAGTTACTCACCATTCCTTAATTTCAGCAGACACACAACAATACACACTTATAGTTTAGCAATGATTGTTGGTTGCTCGACATCCTTTAATTTTATCAATAAATTGTTGGTTACTCTCAATTCTTTAATTTCAGCAAACACACAAGATACACTTACGGTTGAGCAAAGATTGTTGTGCATCCACAGTAGACTTTTCGAGAATGTTTTGTGGATTCTCCCATGATAGTTAACTTTCTCGTTCTTATGTTTCTACCACGATTACGTAAAACAAATTTGTAAATTTTTTATACAATAAACGAAACGGTGAAACGCCAACGGACTATAAAATTTATGTAAAATAGCTAAAAGGGATACGAATTAAAAATTCGAAGCTTCGTTAATTCTTTGACGTCAAATAATTATATTACTTGTATCAAAGTTGTACCACTTTTTGTAAACGATAAAATACATTTTCGATACACATCACATAGCAGTAGAGTAGAATGACGCGTCATCTATGAGCAGTGTTTAGTACTAAAACATTACCTACCTCAATCCTAATTTATATGCGTTTCTTTTCTATAATTAAACGTAAGCAGTAAGAATTTTTAGCTGGGTTTGATAATAGCAATAAAAAATTTTCATGATACAAAAGTATCTACATTGTTTTTTCCCTGAGCATCACATTAAACAGGATAGCAACTTCACCTATATGATAAATACTTTTATTACTCTTTTCCTATACCTAAAATAGGTGCTAATGAACAGAAGGTTGTAAGGCATCTTAATAACATTATTAGGCTTAAGATGACGTATTATTTCAGTTCTGTAAGACTCATTTTCTCCAGTACTTGATCCACATGTATACATTAGTTTAGAGTGTAAAATAATTTACCTACTCCAGAGAAGGAGGGAGGAGTTATATTTTGTGGTGGCTAGTTCTTTACGATAAACCAATCGTAAATTACAGTGAATTCAGTAAAATAATTTACCTACTCCAGAGAAGGAGGGAAGAGTTATATTTTGTGGTGGCTAGTTCTTTACGATAAACCAATCGTAAATTACAGTGAATTCAGTGAAATAATTTACCTACTCCAGAGAAGGAGGGAAGAGTTATATTTTGTGGTGGCTAGTTCTTTACGATAAACCAATCGTAAATTACAGTGAATTCAGTAAATAATTTACCTACTCCAGAGAAGGAGAGAGGAGTTATATTTTGTGGTGGCTAGTTCTTTACGATAAACCAATCGTAAATTACAGTGAATTCAGTGAAATAATTTACCTACTCCAGAGAAGGAGGGAAGAGTTATATTTTGTGGTGGCTAGTTCTTTATGATAAACCAATCGTAATTACAGTGAATTTTTTACTATAACTAGACCAATCATAAATCAACGTGAAATCTTTATGGGAAAACCAATATTAAATTAAAATCGGATCTAAAATAATCAACCATTTTTTATATTGTCTAACTTGTGAAATTAAAACCTACAACAAATCAAGAATTTATATACATAGAGGTCTATACATTAAGAACAACAACAAAAAACTGTCGATGATTTCTCTATAAAAATATATTTTTGCTCTTATGAAATCTAAAAATATCTCAAAAATTCCACTTCAACAGGACGTCATAAAAACAAATTTTATTAAATACTGGGATAAATGCTATATATTAGATTCTTCTTACAAAATACAAGAACACAGTCATAATTTCTTTGCATTGAAATGATTTCTCATATCAATTGGATTCAAATTTCACATTACTAATTAAACTTTTCATTGTTTATAACACACATACTGATCTTCAAACACACCTTGACCACGGTAACGAATAAGACTCAAACTAGAGGAACCATCTTAAAC